ATGAGAAACTGGTCATTGATGACTCGATGTCTCCAGTGAACACTGTCCCAAAACAAAGTAAACCTCAAACTGTAACGTGCTCTGCAGACCCTCCAGTTGTTCCTGCTTCTGAGTCCACCCCTGAAAGTTCAGAGATGTCTTCCCCTCAAAGAGTTACAAGGGCCAGACGGCAAACCAAAAGAGCAAAGGATTCTGGGGACCAGCTAGGTGAGATCCTGCGCATGCAGACAGCCATGTTCAAGTCTGCCAACGAGATGGCCAAATGCTCTGCTAAGTCGCCCACCCGATGTGCAGGGCCATCAGTTCACTCTCATCCAACATCGCTGGTTAAACCGTGTGTGTCTTCATTTTTGGAGAGAAACCAGAGCAAGGATGGCGAAACCTGTGTGGTTCCCCCCAACTCTTCATCCCTCGGTGCTGACACTAAAGAACATAAAAGTTAGTGTTGATTGATTTTCAATATGGTGGTTTAATTTCTGTGTGACGTGATTACCATGCAATGCTTCATTGACTCTCTGCTCCTTTATTGACCCCCTCAGAGCTTCTTTCACAAGACCTGCAGGCTACAACAGAAGATGAGCAAGATTACGAGGCTCCTGTTGAGGGCAACCTGTTTTATAAACTCTACAGTCTGCAAGACTTGTTACTCATGGTGCGCAGCTCTGTCTCTCTGACCCACACGAGAAAAGTAGGCAGCAGGAAAAACCAGGTATAAACATTCATTCTGTATATGCACAATCCTCAGAATGAGATTTGTTTTTAATATTGACATTTGATCTGTCCCAATAGCATACACCAGTGCATGTCTTGCCTAAGCTGGAGTACCAGTTGTGTTATGGTGTTGAGTGCCTAACCAGGAGCGAGGTATGCAACTTGTGGACAGAGACTTTGCTTCACTCCAGCACAGTATCTTACATAGGTAACGTTTTTATCCTTGTTACTTTCAAACTTGTTGCTTTGAGACACTATTAAAATGATGATGGTTATGTTCCACACATGGTTCTAAATTGAGCTAAAGGAGGGACCCTTTGGCTTTCCTTTTTTTAACTTCGTTGCCAAGGAAATAGCCAATGTATCATTTAGACAGCTTAAAACAGGCCACAATACAATCAGTGGGGCAGATCCTTCCACAAACCAGAGAAATAGTCTTCAGATGACTCATCGTCCTCCTCTGACTGTGTAATGGTTAGGTTTACTTAGTTGCCATAGCTACAGCCACATGTGATCATGTGTTATTACAGTGAATGCAGTGTGCAAAGCTAAGCTAAGTGTTGTTTTGGGCTTGAGCTGCATTGTCGGTGTCTCCGTACTGCTTATCTGTGACTCAAGATTCGGGGAAAGACTCCGCCTTTTGTCTGTGCTAGGTTCACTGAACTGACTCATGTAATCTTGACATGCATGTACTGTGTTCCTTTTGCCTATTGGATTAATTAAACACCTTTATAGTTCACAAAAGGTACACACATTGGCACAAGTTTCATATGTTCAGCTTCACTGCTGTAAATGTAGCCATTCAAGAGAATGGCTAACAGGCCTGTGTGGCAAAATAATGTCTGGTTTTGCCACTAGTGGTAAGAACATTGATCTATATGAAATAAATAATATCCCCCAGCTATTGAAATTATATGGTGCTAATAGACTTCCTTATTTACTTGGTTCTTTGTGGTTTATCATGTGGTTTGTCATGGGGCATTCTGCTATTGTGTATTTATGGCTGCTGTTGTCAGCTCTAAAACACTCTGCAAATGAAGGAAGACACTGCTGAAATATGCAGGCCTTTCCAGCTGGAGTGGGAGGCAGGGAAGGATCAAGATGAGAGGGGGCCAACGAGCATTTCTTAACACCCACTCAAGCTGGTTAACAATGCTGGCAAATCACCACAGACTAATTACTTTGTGAGCACCAGACATAGCACGGATGATGAAGTGAAGCTCTTGATGTGCACACTAGCTCTTGTTGTTCTCTCAGTTTGTCTTTCACCCTGTCTCCATGACTCTGTAGCGCACATCAATGCACACACATCAAAAGTAGCTCTGCTGCGAAAGCTGCCTGATGACTGGAAGCAGAACGTCTCCTGTGGGTTCAAGTGAGTGTTGTTTCAACAAATGTGTGTCGATAAAAAGGATTAAGCTAATCATCTCAGAATGATTGTGTTACTTAAGATTTCGAGTTTGTCTTCTTGAGTTTCAGTCAGTGTTGATAATCCAGGCCTTTTCATCACCTCTGAATCTGTTAGATGCCAAGTAAAGCAGATAGACTGAAACTTGCTGATGTCTCTTTTCCAGGCTTTCCAAGTCATTAAATATACTCCACCACCTACTGAAAAAACTTACTGGGTAAGTTGTTGCTGACACAAATTATATTATTACTATTTTTGTTTGTATATTGTTGTCATTGAGATCCTCCACCCGAATTTTATTTGATAATTGTAAGTGTGTGCACAGATTTATTAAAATGTACAAACATACATGCAGATACATTATATAAAGCAAAAACAGAGTTTATACAATTCTATCACACTTGAAAGTCAATATTTGGTGTGACCGCCTTTATAATTCAATACAACCTGGATGAACACTAAGGCAAACTTTCTTGTCATTTCTTTAAGCAGTCTCCAGGAATCGTCCTCCAGGCTTCTTGAAGGACATTCAAAGCTCTTCTTTGAATGTCGGCTGTCTTTTGTTTTATTCTCTGTTAACATGATCCCACATCTTCAGTAATGTTGAGGCCCGGCTTCTGGGGAGGCCAATCCATGACTGATAGTGTTCCATGGTGTGTTTTTCCTCTCCAGTTAAGCTTTTACTGCAATGACGATGTGTTTAAGGTAATTTTCATGCTGGAAAAGGAAGCCCGCTGCCAATCAGACAGCTCTTTTCTATCTTTTGTTAATCTTTAACACTATTGGCTTAAATGTAGCTTTAAACCATGACTGAGCCTCCACCATGCTTTAGAGCAATAAGACCCCCCCTCCCTCCCTGAGTACTTTTTTTTTTTTTCCTGTCCCATTTGGTTCCTTAACAATCAGAATTGTTGTTTGAAGACCAACAAGGATACCCAATGGATTTATTTTGCCAAATAGATCATCGTGGCATTGCCGTATTGGTCCATTTGATCGACCTTTGTTTTTATTATTTATTATATTTTATTTTCAGATGTTACAGACGGGACAGACATGAGTGAGGGATCCCTCCCTGAGTACTGACACTAAAGAACACAAAAGTTGATGTCGATTGATTTTCAATATGTTGGTTTAATTTCTGTATGACTTGGTTAACATAACAGTGCATCATTGACTTCCTGCTCGTTTATTGACCCCCTCAGAGCTTCTTTCACAAGACCTGCAGGCTACAACAGAAGATGAGCAAGATTATGAGGCTCCTGTTGAGGGCAACCTGTTTTATAAACTCTATAGTGATTTGTTTAAATGTTGATGAATTGAATGTAAAGTCTATACCCCAAGGAGTTTTTTTTCTTTTCTTTTTTTTTTTTCTCCAAACTTGCTCATCACCTTCAGGTTATCAGAAAGTTGGCTATTGATTCTTAAAACTTTGTTTAAGCCGATGAAGTGTTCATACTGTTCGCTCTGGCTACCTCGGGCTAAAACTGTGACGCAAGTCTGCCTTCATGTTTGCACTGGAGAATTACTCAATCAGAGAATTACTCAATGACACTCAGTACATGTGTCAACTTCTTTGTCAGCACTTCATTCTTCATCAGCACTTCATTCTTCATCATTTCTTCTAAGAATGGAGAAATCATTGCAGTGCTACAACATGTTTCTGTGAGTGACACAGTCTCAAGGACTTTGTTTGCTTTTGTAGGTTAGAGGAAGGACAATACCTGATTGCACATAAATCGGGGGAACCGTTTGTGACCATCCTCAAAGCAGTACATGGAAAAGGGAATCGGGGGGGATACGACCTGCATCAGGCCCACAGCTCTGTTCCACAACCCCCGGCCTTTGGCTATGTGCCTTGGATACCTGTTGATCCAGCTGTAGTCCTGCCCTTCCACCAGCAACATGGAAGGGTCCCCTGCACCTTTCCACCAACACCCATTGTGAAGGTTTGTATTCATGTTTTCGCTACAGTTACCCTGTTAATTCAAAACATTATAGGGAAAAAAATCTCCACAACAACAGACATGTGGCCCAGGTTAATAAAGAGCAACAAGAGGAAAGGTTGCTATGTTTATATTAATATCTAGGAAGTCCCCACCCCCACTCCAGAGAATTTGTAAAAGCAAAAATAACTCTTCTAACAAGTTGAACCAGAAGCTGCCTCATATTTGTTAATGGCAAAGCCTAAATCTAACAGCAGGGACAAATACTGAGAAGAGTTATTGGCTTTTCTGGTTTAGATTCTGAGACATTCATTGGAGGTCTGTCTGAAATTTAACATAGCAAATAGCTGAACTGCTTTCTTTATTCACTTAACAGCTTTTGGTAAAACAAGTTTTCAGCCAAGCAACTTTGAGCACTCAGTCCTTCTGAAAATGACAAATAAACATATTCTCTTATTGTCCATCCTACCAGAAAACCAATGGAAGCAACAAGAAGACGTGCAAGCAGAAGAAACGTACAGCCAAGCGTAACACGTATGTGAAAAAGCTCATTCAAAAGTCGTTTTAAGATCCCTTTGTTAATGTATTGTCATATAACTTCATGATTTGCATTAGGAGAGCTGGAGGAGTCCTTAAATTATAAATGTGGATCCTGATGCACTTTTATTCTATATAACCTGTAATTTTGTTCAAAGGTATGTTTGTATGTATTTTGTTTACTTTTTGTGTGAAAAAGAGTTAATAAACTGAAAGTGATTTATAACGTTCGGATGTTTTTGACTGTGGGAAGTTGGGATCAGACACACCTAGGATTTCTCCTAACGGCACAAGGCTTCAGTCACTTTGAATAGTGTGTGGGAAAACTTGGCTCTAAAACTCTGAGCTGCTGACTCGTAGCAGATTAGGGTGGAGTCATGAGTCCACAGAAAGGGGGAGGGAATCCGTCAGGGGAAGTGAAGTGGGAAGCCTTTTCATATCTCTGAAAAGTTGAGCCTCCACACCCAATCCATTTAAACATCACCAGGACAAATCTGTGCATCATCTCAGCGTTTACAGCTCAGGTAAGTGTGCTGGAATTTTGTCAACTGTTTGTTAATAGAATAAAAGGAAGTACGGTTCAGTTTACACTGCATAAAGCTTCAAGGAGTTTTAAGGAGGCATTTTGCATTCACGAGTCATGACATATGACTTGCATTTTCACAGTTTGTATAAAAGAGTCTCACTTCTGTTTTAAGTTTCAGTTAAGTTTTAATTCTTCAGGTTCTTAAAGCAGTTTTTTCCCCTTGTCCACGTGTGAAAGAACTCAGTTGCCTTACAACATCGAAGTGCAGCAGCACATTTTCCAGGGCGTGTCACTTCGGTGTTTCTAATGCGTCTGAAATCTTTTACTAGAAACTCCTCTGAATGTGGCAAAGCAGTCAAAAAGAAATAACCATTCGTCAAAGGAATAAATTCCCCTGCAATCACTCGGCTTTGTAAAAAGCAACAACTTGATTTAACTTCTCTGCCTTTGTTAGAAAGACCTTGCTTTACCTTCTCAAACGATTACATCTCCAGTCAAAATAAACATGGTCTTGTGCAAGTCAGTGATAGGATTATAGCGAGATTTGATTATGAGATTTTTTTTTCCCCACAACAGTGAAAATGGCTATGGTATCAGAGTTTCTGGGACAGCTGTCTCTCAACATTGGGGTAAAGTTCTGCTTTCTTTTTTTTCTTCTTTATCATGGCAACTCTTATTTTATCATTTATTTGTTACATGTATATGTAATGTTTAACTTCTCCACCAGCAGCCTGCCACATTTAGCTTTAAGGGTGATACTAAAAGACTAAAAGACTAAAAGACGTTCTCTGGGAAACTGACATTAGCTGAACTCGTGCACTCAACCTGACCTTTTGTGTGCCACCAGTTTCCTAATGGAGGTTAAGAGGTTAACAACAAAACAGTTATTTTACTTCTTGCTTTGACTTCTCAGGGTCAGGATCCTTTGTTCCCCACTGTGGTACCTGCTCCTGACTTTGACCCTGATAAAGATGCTGCCAGGATAGAGACCGCCATCAAAACCAAAGGCAAGATCTCTCTCCAAAAAAAGAAAAAAAAAGGAAAAAGAAATGGTGCTTGGTTCTGCAAATTCTTGCAGCAGATGAGTGACTGGTATTTGTGAGTCAGCCTCGTGGCTTAAAATGTTTGGACCACATTGGGAACACCTCCATGTCCACGCCCCAGTGCTGGCAGAGCTGTGTTCTGGCCGCTGACTGAGCTACTGGCACTCCTAACAGCCCACCATCGTGCTGTGGTGAAGAATGTGTTCAGAGTGGAAAAATGTTTTTCTGCAAATAAGAATAGGAGGAAATTTCACCTTATGCCCATGTTGCGTTTAAACCTTTACTCAGACACGATATTTGTGTATATCCATCCCCTCTTCTTCTTTTAAAAGGTTGTTGTAGGGATTTACTGATTGTGTCTTTCTTTTGTCATCATAACCTACTCAGATTTCTTAGTATTGTTAAAAAATTTCATTCATTTGTGTAATTAACGTGTTCAAATCATGTATAATCAGGTGTGGATGAGCAGACCATCATTGATGTCCTAACAAAGCGGACGTACGCCCAAAGGAGAGAGATTGCTTTTGCGTATGAAAGGAGGGCAAAGAAGGTACAGCAGGCCTAAACTCCTTCATGGCTTTAAAGCGCCATTCTTTGTCTTTTCAGCAATATGCCAGACATTAAGCATGATCAGGTAATGCTGTTATAATTTATATAGGACATGATCTCAGCCCTGAAGGGTGCTTTGTCTGGCTCACTGGAAACTGTAATCCTTGGACTGATGAAGAGCACGGCGCAGTTTGATGCCTCAGAGATCAAGGCATCCATCAAGGTAAAGTGTGGTTTGTTTGTTTTTTCTCTCAGGGAGATTTTGTGGAAGGGCAACACCGCCCTCTGCTGGAAACAAAAAGCCATTAGTCTTATGTCTTCAGATGGCTTTCAGGTGTGATCGTTTAAAATTCTCCTTTTTTCAGGGATTAGGAACTGATGAAGAAACACTGATTGAGATTTTGTGCTCACGTAGTAATGATGAGCTGGTAGAAATCAAGAAGGTCTACAAGGAATGTAAGTACACTTTGAAATCCTGTGTAAAGTTTAGATTACAGTTGAGGTTGCGTGCTTTTTATTTACTATGCATTGTTCTTGTTGTATTACATATCATATCATATCATGTCTTAATCAGTCATAAATCAAGTTATGGGACTACTCTGGTTTCAAGAGATGGCTAAATCCCCGACGTGAAAATCTAATTTTTATAGTGTTCAAAAAGGAACTGGACAAAGATGTGGCTGGAGATACTTCTGGAAACTTCGCTAAGTTACTATTGGCTCTTGTGCAGGTGAGACGTAGCTGCATTGTTCCTTAAGATTTACATACATTTAGGTGACAAATTAAAATAAACTTTCATAATTACATCCATGCAGGCATTTGGTGCCAAATATAACCTGTAAAAATGACTTTTCAGCAGTTGCTTGTGAAAATGACCTGAATGTTGTTTATTTTGCCACAGACCAAGAGAGCTGAACCGTCCTCTATTACAGACTATGAAAAGATTGATGAAGATGCCAGAGTAAGTTGTTTGCCTTTGAATTAAACAGATTTTTGTTTGGGTCTTATATTCCCGTCACATATAGAATAATTAATATAGAATAATTAGACACGAATGAAATTTTTTCGTTGTCCATGAACGGCTCTTTTCTGTGCCACAAGCTAAATTCTGGCACTGTTTAAGGATATTTCCTCATGCCTAGGCTCTCTATGATGCTGGAATAAAAATTAAAGGGACTGATGTGGCGACCTGGATCTCCATTATGTCTGAGAGAAGTGTACCCCACCTCCAAAAAGGTGCCCCATCCTTTTTACTAAGAGCACTATTAATACATGTGGATTTGTGATCCTCTGTTGCAAGTTGTGAAATGGACCCATTACACCACTCAAAGATTTTTTTCTTCTGTGTCTTAGTATTTCAGAAGTACAAGAGTTACAGCCCCTACGACATGCAGGAGAGCATTGTGAAGGAAGTTAAAGGAGACTTGCAAACATCCTTCCTGGTGCTAGGTACACTTTAGCAGTGCATTTAGATTATTAATGAACGACAACTCCCCAGTTTTGGTTTAAGAATTCCTTTCAACGTGATAAGAAACATATCTGCAGAATGTAAGATGTACTCCTGTTAATATTTGTTCTTTTTATTTGTTCCAGTTCAGTGCTTTGAAAACAAACAGCTGTACTTTGCCAAAAGACTCAATGAAGCCATGAAGGTACTCGCACTACTGTTCTTTTCCTTTTTCTTGAGATGTGGCTATTTTGAGGGCTAGACTGTTTTTTTTTTGGGTTTTTTTTATTCCAGCAGATGTAAGAAATACATCTGCTTGTGAAAGTGTAATTTAGCTGCAGGAACACAGAGAATCCAAAGTTGACAAAAGTTATCTTACAACAGTGTTGCATCAGCTGCTGCAGTTAAGTTTGGAGCGTGTGCAACTTAAGTGCTGACTTGTGCTCTTTTCCTCAGAGTAAAGGGGCCAAAGAGAAGATGGTGACCAGAATTATTGTGTCACGCTGTGAGGTGGACCTGAGAAAAATCTGCTCTGAATACAAGTCCTGCTTTGGGCAATCTCTGCAACAGACTATTATGGCAAGTGAATTTTCTAACCTGCCTCTGGTCTATGAGTGATTTACAGTAAAGCTTGTTCTGTCATGCAGCATGTCTGACTTGCTGTTTCTGTTCCTTCTCCAGGAACATACCAAGGGAGACTACCAGAAGGTACTGCTTGGCCTCTGTGGACCAGGGCAATAAAAAGAGTCATCAGATGCAAAAGAGCCTCTTTATCCATAGCTGGAAAGCTGCGCTTTGAATATCAGCTGGAGCCCTCCTAAGCTCATCTCATGTTTTCTGGATTTGCATTTGAATGCAACATTTAAGGAGAGATTTTTTTTTGTCTTTTTTTTGTATTTCATACATGAAGAGTCTGTGTCAAGGTTTGTTTGTTATACCAAAACGGAAATAAAGTTGCTTTGTTTGAACATTGCTCATTTTTTTGCCTCAATGTTGCTTTATGTGGATGTTTACATGAATCGCCACCAGAGGGCGATATATGTAAACGGTAAAAGCAGCTGCAGAAAGCTCTGCCCCTCTGTCTCTGGGCCTTACATTGCCTATATTTGCAGAAGGAATGCAGATATGTTAAAAAAAACAAAAGATATATGACAAAATATTTTTTTAACAGCAACCTTTTTACCCACCATTATTATCCTTATTCTTAATTATTGGGCATTTTATAAATATGTGAAAGGAAATGAAAATGACAAAAAACATTTTGTCTGCACAAGAAATGAAAATACATTTCTGAGCTTTGAATATAAAAAAAAATACTGTATACATTTTCTTCCAATTCAGACATTCGATGGCAAACCTCATTTGCAAACATAAAGATTCACGACCATAAAAACGTTAATGTACAGTGTGAGCAGTGCTGCGTGTTTTCAGATAAAGAATTACAAGAAACAAGCTTCGGTTTCCACTATGAGATTCCATCAAGATGATTTAATCATTAGTGTGTTTTTCTGTGTTTGTTTGGTGCTAATATTTTAATTGAAAATGTTAATTTTACCTCCGGCCAAGATGATTTGCATACCACTAAACAAGTGTCTATACAACGTGTTTCTGCTGTTTAGTTTGTGGTCTCTCAGGATGAAATAACCACCACAGTGTTGTCAAGGCATTTCTACTGAAGTATAAGGGAAAAAAAATAGCCCCAAAAGGCAAGTTCAGTGCTGCTGAACACAGCGATGAGGAAAGGATCGGAAGGAAAGTGCAATAATCTTGCGAAAATAAAGCGGCGTGCTGTGGCTCAAATATGATAGAAGCCCATCTGTTACTGTGGGAGAAACCGCCTGATAAAATAACGCTTCTGTCAAATCTTTTCAGTGGTTGAATGGCTGAGAAGAGAAACGGCTTCAAATTTTAACAAGGCGTCAGATTTATGGTCATTTTGTAATAATATTGATGAGAACATTAGCCCTTTGTGATGGTTTGTGTTTATGAGCAATAAAAAAATAAAATATAGCATAAAGTAAGATAAAACAGTATTTTGCAAAGGAGTGAGTGAGATTTATGCACGCATACAGTGACAGATTAATCTCTGCATCATAAAGGGAAAAGTACCACCATATTTTTCACTTTTTTTATATGGATGTACAACATGCTGTTCTGTTCAAGGCCAGCCCGTTGGGACCTCCAGCAAACCCAAGGGGAACTCTCTTCTCAATTGAAACGATGCAATTTACTGTCCCAAACACTGGCACTTCATCATTCAGGGGACTTTAACCCCATGAATGTCAAACAGAGCATGCTGGGAAGGAGATGGAATACCTCACATTACCATAACAACTAGAGCCAAATGACAAGCACTCTGAAGTCTAAAAGGTGAAGAATAATACCATATAATCACCTAATAACATCTGAATAGCAGAAGAGAGTTTGGAATACTTTATATTTAGGAAAAAGCTCTGTGAGGAGGGGTTTTTTTTTGTCAGTTGGATCCTGATATGGATCCTGTCAGGCACCTGTACCTAAGTGTCTTTAAAGGTCACACAAAAATCCTTTTCTTCTTCTCCTTTCAAACACTTTTGTTAGTTTGATCGAATATGTGGAAAAAGCCCTGCACCCGCCCATCCGCCCCACACCCCCACCTGAGAGAAAAGGCCCGGGCAATCGCTTTAGGCATCCAGCGGCATTAAAGTTTCACAGTGCAGCTGTATAGCTTGTGCTGCTGCCCCGCCAGACATACCAACTGCACACCGGGAAGGTATTAGTTTGTGCTTTTTATTAATTAATTGCATTAAACAGAACTTCCAGTGTAAGGGACCGACAGCTTCTTCACGCTTGCCGTCACTCCTCTCTCCTTGACACATCTGAACCTGGCTTAGTATTTTTGTGCAGAGCACCAAAGGGTGTTTAATTATAGAGTAGGGGGCCACCATGGTTTGATTTTAATTGTGTGCATCTGTGTGTGTTTGCGTGTGTCTGCACGTTTGCCTGCAGCTCTATAGGTCGCGGGCATACTTTAAATCAGAACTCCTACAGGCTAAGCTGGAAGACCGGGCTCCCTCAACACATCCACAGAGCCGTGAGAGCCCGAGTTTGATTAATATTTTCGTAATTATCATTATTTAATTCAGCAAAACCACAGCTTCTTCAGTGAAAGCGCGGCCTTTGTCTCTGTGATGCTGAATATCCTGGCTCATTAAGGGCACGCAGAGATCCTGTATATGGTAAATAAGAGGCTGTGTCTCATGCTGCTGCCCCAGGGAGAGTTGGCACCACTCTGAAGGACATCTCCTTCTAAAGAATGGCGCTCTGCTGATGTTTCTCGGCTCAGACCGTAGAGCTGGATCCCCTGCCTCTGGCATCGTCAGGCCCGCTTCCTTTTATGAGGCTCAAACTGAGACAACAGCACAGGCAGATGAGCGCTGTGCACTCGTCATGCCATCAGGCTGCTTCCTTTGTACAGTCGACTGGTGATTGAAACAACATAAGAGAGCAGAATAAGGCCTGTCTCCTCTCGGGTTTTGGCTCCAGTCAGACCATCTACAGACACGAAAGACATATGGAGAAGTTTATAAAAGAGCTTTGTGTACATGCACTGCATTTTATGTCTTTGAAGAGTTCAGCTTCTGTCATTTTGAGAAGCCAAAAAATAATCTTAATAAGGTTAAACTTGAAGCAAACTGGGATGCTGCTGCGTCAGTTCAGCATGTTTGATACAGTAACTACTTGTAAAGTAGAAAAAAAAAAACCATTTCTTTCTTAATAATTACGTCTTGTATCAATTATGTGTGGTACAAGTCACAATCTAGTTTGTTAAAAAGCTCGCCCCGAGGGATAACTGGTATTTCACATACTGCAGTTTATTAGATCAGCAGTGTTTGATGCTCAGAGCTGGACTGTATGCTGAGTTTTCTCTTTGCTTGAAGCTTTCTCTCTGTTGCTATGTGCTGAAAGGATCAAAATACCCGGTGGCTGGTTAACCTGCATGCTATATATTCATACCGTCGTGTCCCAGGTTGGCCCAAGGAGACGTCCGTCATTCCTCTGCCTGTCCTGCCACTCCCTGGTTTGCCAAGAACGCAGCAAGAAATTTTCTGACAAAGAGCGCTCCTTGCCTACAGTGTTGTTAACCGCCTGATTTGATCACCTCTTTGACAAAAATAACGCACGCGCAAGCTCCCGTTTTATATCATGCAATTGCGCAAGATCCGTGTAAAAATACTCCTTGTACGGTTTAATCATTTGATGAGGCTGGGTGGCCTCAAGCCAGATGCACTAATGATAATTTTCTGTGAAGTGGTTGTAATAGTCTGGCCCCAGCTTCAGTATCTCTTCCGTTGTTTGCACATGCCACTGGATCAGTTTGTGTGTACTTTGCAGCAATGATAATAATATACAAAGAACTGCAAGGAGGAGGACAGTCTTTATCAGGGTGGCATATTAATGTTTATTTACACCGTGGCTAATAAGATGTGTGCTTCCGCAGTTAGGTGAGACAGAATGATGGTGGGTAATTAAACTGCTTTGCTTTAGATTCATCCATTATCCATACTCAAGCTTGCATACATAATGTAATAATGTTAAATAAGGCCTGTTGCGGCGGTGGGCGAGGTGACCATTCTGAGGTGTTTTCATCCCGCGAGCGTGGCGTAAATCAATACGGCGTGTCACCGCAGTCAAAATGTATAAAGATCCGTGTGATAAATTTTCGGAATTGTCAAATATCTATTCAGCGGCGAGTGAGATACGACCCTTTACATAATGCGGTTGTGCAAGAGCACAAACACACTGACGAGACTCGTTTGTGTTTCAGCGTTTGGCTTTCAACTTTCTAACCTGCTGGAGGTTTGAGACTGACCGAGGGGGTCTCTAATCCATATTGTCATGATGCTTAATCCCATCTGCTGAAGGCAAGTCCTGTCTTTAATGTCCTTGTCAGACTGGCCGCTGGACCCCAAGCACACTTACACACATGCGCGCATACACAAACACAGGCTCACCTTCATGCAAGAGATTGAAATCAGCTAGGCAGACACTCAAGCATGAACCAAATGTCAGCGACAAGCCACAGGGAGAGAAGAGGGGCCCATGTTAATTATTACAGAGAGAAATCATACAGTTTCACCTGCAAGACATGCTATCCAGGATATCTGTGGATCATGAAGTCATTTTCTCTTTTTTCCCCCTGTGGTGATACTAAGAGGAGACTCAATCTCAATGAGTAGGTCTTTAAAAAGGAGTGATTAACTCTGTGATGGATGTGCCACCCCCCCACAAAAAAAATCTTTTGCTTATCACATTATGAAACTGTGTTGTGTGTACTTCTCTAAAGTGAACGATAATGATATACAGAAAGGTGAACAAGTTGGTGAAACCTGCAGAGTTCTTTTGTTCATCAAAATGTCACGGATTTACAGATATTGTTTGAAGCCAGACTGTGAAGCTCTGCCCTTCTGACAGGAGAAATGCAAAGTTTTGGAAAGGTGTCTACAAATTTCTTCCCTCTGCAGCAGCTCTGCTCTCTCATTTGATTTTGAACGTGGAGCAGGAAAAAAAGAAGAAGAAGAAGAAGGAAAAAAAAGAACCTGCCTACCTCCTTGTCTTCTGACAACACGCTTCCCATGTGACACTTAACCTTTGGAGATTTCCCATTCTCTCTGATCATTCACTGTTTGGATCATGTTAATTAACCCTAAGGCACAGCAGAGACTTACAGGCTTTGAAGCAGAAGAAAAACACCAAGAAAGAAGTAAAAGGAGAAGGGATTTTTTGTTGTTTTCTGTTTCTTCATGGCGATTAATTTCTATATCCATGTGAAAGTCCTGATGGTGCCAGTGAGAATAATGAGTGGCGTGGGTGTTGGAACGGATGGAACATGGTTTGTGTCCCTGTCACCGTTAGTCCTTGTCCCTGTGAGGAAGTTGGCTGGACCAGCCTGACCTCCCTCAGGTGGCCATGGAAATGGAAATCAGTT